AGCTAATTTTTTGTATTTTTAGTAGAGACGGGGTTTCACCATGTTGACCAGGATGGTCTCGATCTCTTGACCTCGTGATCCACCCGCCTCGGCCTCCCAAAGTACTGGGATTACAGGCTTGAGCCACCGCACCCGGCCTGCACTGTCACATTTAATGTTCATAAGAACGCATGGGGATTTTTACACTGGGAAAACTGAAGCTCAGACAGGGTGAGTAACTTGCCTAAGAGCTGAACCTGGTAACTGAAGTCTATTTATCTTCGGAACCTGTGCTTCTCACTTAATTTGGTGAAGCCTCAAGTGGCAAAAATATGATGGTCTCTCCATGATGGTAGAGACTGATTGAGTCTAAGGATCTTAAAGAAATCAGCTTGTGTTTTGCCTTAGAAGGCAAAGTCACGCAATGGATGCCACGTTGGTGGCCTCCTGAGCAGCTGACACTTGGTTCTGTGAGAGTCCTTGGGCTTCTGCTTGTTGAACTGATTTGGAATACTAATAAAACTTTGACTTTTAGCCGCAAGACCTAGAAAGTTCTAGAACTGGAAGAAATTACCACTATGCATTTGTCTCTGGTTTCTGCACTTCTCTCCAGAACTGATTGGACATGATTCTGGAAATTTGTTGGAAACATTGAAGGCTGGTATTAACACATTTTGGTGCCCACACTTTCTCCTCTGCTCTTCAGATAAATGAATGTGGTCTCTTGCTATAGTGTCCTTCCCAAGTGAGTCAGATTCTCTTGATATTAAATACCGTAATGTCTTTCTTAATGTTCACATTGAAGATATATTTGCCCGAGACAAAATTCCTATTGTTGTGGGAGGAACTAATTATTACATTGAATCTCTGCTCTGGAAAGTTCTTATCAATACCAAGGTAAGTTTAGTTCACTTGTAACTTACTGAGGAAATGGGTTGCTCTTTCTTGCTGGCTAATTTTAGTAGGAAAAAGGTTGAGTCTTACCCATTTCTTATACTCAGCAACTATAATTATCCTATTTAATATTCTCAAACAAATGCCACCTCCATATGTGAAGTGTGTTCATTCAGGCTGGCCTATACGGCCAGGGGCTGTGTGTGGGAAAAATGTTGTGTAAATTAATTAGCATCTCCTTATAAATTAACAGTACATTAGGAGGTGGCTGATGCTTTTAATCCCAGCACTTTGGGAGGCCAAGGTGGCCGGATCACCTGAGGTCAGGAGTTTGAGACCAGCCTGGCCAACATGGTGAAACCCTTTCTCTACTAAAAATACAAAAATTAGCCGGGTGTGGTGGTACATGCCTGTAATCCCAGCTGCTACTAAGGAGGCTGAGGCAAGAGGATCACTTAAACTCAGGAGGCGGAGGTTGCACAGTTAGCCAAGATCATGCCATTGCATTGTAGCCTGGGCAACAGGGTGAGACCCTGTCTCAAAAAAATAGAGAGATGCAATTCAAGAAAAAAATATGTATAATTTTTTTTGTTGTTTTGAGACAGAGTCTCGCTCTTTCGCCAGGCTGGAGTGCAGTGACACGATCTCAGGTCACTGCAAGCTCCACCTCCTGGGTTCAAGTGGTTCTCCTGCCTCAGCCTCCCAAGTAGCTAGGACTACAGGTGAGCGCCACCACATCCAGCTAATTTTTGTATTTTTAGTAGAGACAGGGTTTCACCATGTTTGCCAGGATGGTCTTGATCTTTTGACCTCATGATCCACCCACCTCAGCCTCCCAAAGTGCTGGGATTACAGGTGTGAGCCACTGCACCCGGCCAAAAATATGTATCATTCTTTATTTAAAAAACTGTTAAAATATTGCTTATAGCCATTACTGGAAATGAATAAAAAATATATATATATATTTAAATAAACTTTTAAAGGAAAAAAGTCCAGTGCATTAGCCTAATTCAATATTTTCTAACTGGCAGCACAGTATGTATGTCAGGGAGATGTCCAACACTGACCTTACTTACGTAGGTGCTACTGTGTAGGGTAACTGTGTAAACTGTAATTTGCTGGCAATCCCGGTCTCTTTGGTCACCCTTGCTGAGAAGACTAGACTCCTGGATATGTTAAAATAGATACATTAGCCCTGGTACCTGTTTGAACTTCTGACAAGGAAGCAAAGTAGCCGACTATTTCCCTATGCTGTAAGTCTTCTTTCCTCTTTGTTTGCTGTGGCCTTACAGCACTTACCACAGCATATTGGAATTTTCTGTTTATGATCTGTCTCTCACTATATAGCAAGATCTTCTGATTATTCTGTATTCCCGACACTTAGCAAAGTACCTGGCACATACAGTGTCTCAGTGTTGGTTGAATTAAATTTACCTCTAAACCATCATTTAATAGCCCCCGGAGATGGGCACTGAGGAAGTGATTGACCGAAAAGTGGAGCTTGAAAAGGAGGATGGTCTTGTACTTCACAAACGCCTAAGCCAAGTGGACCCAGAAATGGCCGCCAAGCTGCATCCACATGACAAACGCAAAGTGGCCAGGTAAGAAAGCTTGGCCCGCTGACCCCAAATTCCTTTACAACTAGGGAGCAGTCAGTTCTTCAGTTTGCCCAGGTGATGAGAGAGATTTGGTAATAGCAGTTAGTGGAGACTGATGTGTTGTTCTAGCTCAGAAGGTTGGGAGGCCCTGAGTTACTGCCTCAGTTCAACTCCCTCAATAAATAATTGCACCCTACTTTGTTACATTTTAAATGCATAGTACAATATCGTTTTCCCCTAGGGCCTGTATAATATTGCTTCATTTTCTATTTGATCTTTTGCTTGTATAACAGTTTTCATATACATTTTTTTCTGGCATGCAGTTTGTTTACATTGTGATTTGGGTTTCGTAATTGTGCAATGCTGTGTTCTGTCCCAGCAGCTTTCCCAGTGGGAGGTGGATTTTGTAAACTGTCTCATAGATCAGATCACCTTTGCACATGGAAACTATGTTGTAGCGAAGAGAGGTAGTGAATGAACTCACAAGGGTCATGTTTTTTTAGGTTGTTTTGAAATTGCAGCCTCATGTTAGGCTTATTTTTCTGCAGTATTGGGAGTGATACCACTTCTGGCACAGTAGAACATCTAATGAAGGACCTACTCTATTGATGTTATTGATTAAATATTAAAGTAACATCTCATATTCATAGGCATTGTGAAGTATTCCACTCAAATGAATTTGATATTTTTCCTCCTAATTTTATCCCCCCAATGAAATTTAATGTTAGAATATAGGGTTTAAAACATTCATTATTA